GATGATGCTGTTTCTTAAGATATTTGATTTGTATATTATGATATGAATAAGAAGTTTTATGATGTAATTTGTCAGTAATAGATAATATATCGTTTAATATGCAAACTTTAAATTATTGTATTGTTCTTTATGATTGAAAAATTCTTGTTTAATTCTAAATATTCATTCATAAATTAAATTTTCTTTTCTGTGCATTTTCTGTTCTAGTAGGCAAAGACTTATATGTGTAAAAGCAAAATACTTTGCTTGCTTCAACTTCTAGGCTTGGCAGAAATCAGAAGTCCTGGCATTTTTTTTTTTTTTTTTTTTTTTTTTTTTTTTTTTTTTGCATCAATAAACATAAACAATTTTTCTGCTACAAAAAGATATTAATTCACTTCTGTTTAATCTAGTTTATTTTTAATGAATTTGGGTTTTAAGAAATGAAACAAACTTTCCTTTTTCCCCCCCGGATTTGTTTGCTTTCCTAATTTATTATTCTGGAATATACGTTTTAGAAAGCACTAGAATTCATTTAATGCTACTTATGTGTCATGTAGAATTTTTTTTTAAGTTCTTCGGACCTAAAATATCAATATTTCTTCATTTAATTTTCCTGTTTATTATCTGTGCTTAAGCATTTTAATACTGTTAATTTTATGTTACTTCTTCAATCCTTGCTTAATATACACTAATGTTTGTGAAAATTGCAGCACTATGAATAAATTATGCAAATTGAACCAAACTTACAGGAATGTAAAATCAGGTAAGACATGCAAATGATTGGAATTGCGAAGCGATTGCACATGCGTGGAATTAGAACGGGCCGCTTGTTCCATATATATAAAGAACTGTAAAGTTATGTTGAAATCTCTGTATCGTCTTCTGTCTGTGATGAACGTTTAGTTAGTGGTCAATATGCCTCGTCAGCAGCGGAGAGGGTCATACCAGCAAATAACGGAGTTCGAACGAGGCCGCATCGTCGGAAAGCGAGGGGTGAACTTTTGTATCGATCAATCGCAGCCCGCACACAGTGCAGTGCACAACAGGTTTGGAAGAAATGGACAGAGGAGAACCAAACAAGGCGAAATCCTGGCAGTGGGGCACGCAGTATCACAACGAAACGGGACAACAGTCACCTCACCACATGGCTGTGACGGATCGTAGAGCGTTCTCTCGTGTGTTAGCACAACGTTGGAGTAAGGCTACAGGTGTTGCATTGTCTAGCTCCACGTTTCGTCGCCGTCTGCATGCAAGGGTTCCTCTTCGCAGGATTCCCCTGTCGCCGAATCGCAGAAGCCTCTGACTTCAATGGGCATGGCAACACAGTAACACAGTGCGTGGCGTGCCCTATAGCAACTAGTTGTTTTCCCCGATGAATCTCGCTAAAATATGGAGTATAGTGACGGAAGGTTACGCATCAGACGTTACAGAGGAGAACGTTTGCTCCCACAATGTGTTATCCAGCGTCATGCCTCACAAACGCTTGGCATCATGGTGTGAGGAGCTATTGGGTATAATTGTCGATCCCATCTAGTACAGACTGCGGGCAACCTAACCTCAACAGTGATCGGTGCATAACGGAAGTTGTGGAGGCAGAGATCCTCCCCAATCTTCGGCGCTGTATTTACACAGGCTAATGCATGTGCACTCGTTTCTCAGATTGCACAAGCTTTCTTTAGGGCACAACAGGTTTTGCTTTATCCATGGACTGCTTCAGGCCTCCTGTTTTCTATTATCTTGTATTCCTTCAACTTTAACTATAAGCTAACATACAAATAACAACATTAACTGTTCTTTACTATTTATATGATTCGATTTTTAACGTTTCTGTAACACTGTATTATTTTGCGCACTGTCTATGTATGATTACATTATGTATTGATGTGTATTGTATTGTTGATATGTCATTTTTCCTTTGTATTAGTGTCATTCTCAAGTATTATTTCATTTGTTTTATTATTTTATTATTATTAAGTCGGTTGATTTTCTTTTAGGAGTATTAACACAGTTTAATTATTCATAATATATTTTCGTATTTTTATTATAATAGTATTTGTATTTTATATTTTTCTTTGCTCTCTCCAGACCTAGATATTGTGTTTGTATAGTTGAATTGTATTTCCTACTACTAAGAGTTATTTACTTACTTCTTTAAGCCTTGTAGAATACTTCGTGCAGCATGAGGAGTTTTGTATTTGTTTTCTTAGTTAAAAAATAATATTAAATTTTACATTTTTGAGTAATATATAGGAAAGTATATAATATCATTGTAGTATATCTCCATTTTATCAGTGACGGTTTTTATTATATATAAAATCATTTTACATGTTTTTACAAATTTTACGGAATTTTATTTCATTTTTTTATTGTAATTATATTTTATACGTTATTCAAAAGCATATAAGCATATTACAGTTATTCAAAGGCATTCATTGTAGTATATCCCCATTTTACCTGTGCAAAGTTTTATATACATATAAAATCATTTTACACGTTTTTACTAATTTTACACAATTTTTTTTATTTTTTATTGTAATTATATTTTATATATTTATTGGTACAGTACCTATAGCTTATTAAACTCTCTAAATGTGAGTTTAATAAACTGTGGGTACTTTATCACTAAAGAATATTCTGTTATTCAAATATCAAATTTTTACTTATCCCCAGCTGTGGACCACAAAATTTTCTTCCGGTTTCCATTTCTTATATAAATCTCCTGTGGATTGATCACGTAGCTTGAACATGCTCGATACTGGTGGTCCGTAAGACGTTTGTTTTATATATATTCTTGGGATCTGAAAAATCAAAATTTTTTCACTTCTTTGTTCATGTTTATATAAGCTGTACATAATTTATTTTTTGATATCGTTGTTTTTGTGTTATTTCTTTAACTTTTCTTTACTGTAAATACATATAAATATATTTGTTTATTGTTGGTTCCATTTATTTCGTCATGTAAATTTTAAATTATTTTTCAAAAGTATGGGTATTTAAATCCATATTTGTCTGTTCTATGTTAATATCACAGTAACTTTCTAAATTATATCGGCAAAATGTTTTGGAATGCTTATTAATTAATCACTTGATAATTTCATAGGTACTTTTTTGAAACAATAATTCTTGAAATTTTCTTTATTTTACAGGCAGATCCAGCAACCCGCTTGAATGTAAAATTAAAATCCTGAAATGTTCGTTTTGTTCATATGCTACTCAGAAGAGTAAAATAGAGATGTTTCGAAAAGGAAGGAATATATTTGATTTGTTTTTTAAAATCTTAGTTTCAACAGAGGAAAGTCAGATTCAACTGTGAACCATATTCAGTATTTGCAACCACAGGTGTAGTCAAAATGTTGAACGAGAATCTCGAATTTTTTAACACTAAAAAATAAAGTGCGAATATTCTCTCAGTTTCAAAATCGTTATCTCTTGGGACTGAATCCCAGTTCTGATGAATTCCAAATTGTGAGAATGCGTATTCCTATTCTTTGCATTAACAAGAACCTTCGCAGCAATTTGTTGAAGCTGTTGCGCTGTTACTAGAAACGCCAGCAGGGTTGTGGAGTCGGCATCAGAGTTAGGCAGATTTTTGGATAAAGGGAGTCGGAGCTGGAGTCTCTAAAAACACGTCGACTCCGACTCTTGTTTTTGTTGGACAGTTAAAATTTCAAAAAAAAATTAAAGTGAATTGAAAAAAATTAATGGTAAACTGAGTTATTATTTAAATTTATGGACTATGTACATTAATAATATTTAGTTATTTTCCATTTGATTGACATATTAATAAATAAATATAAGGGGGTGGATGCGGTATTTGCCATTATTCATTAAACTGATTTATTTAGTTACTTCTTCAGCTCATAGCTGGAAACGCGATGGGGAAGTACATATTTGATGATAAATAGGTTTTCGGAGTTAAGAATTTTGTAGAAGATGTTGATAACCCTAATGTTTCACTAGCAGAAAGATTGTGGGGTGATCTTTCAGAATTGGAAACTTTTCTTTCTGCACCGTATATAGCCACAAAAAATCTACAAGTGTAAGGCTACAAAAAGGCGTGTTTCTGTGAGAATGGAAAAATGTGATGCTTTTTCTTTCTAAAATAGGGCGGCTTATTGCAGAATGAATCATTTCCTAAATGAAGAAAAGAGAAACTAGTTTGCTAGACAATGAGGTCTTGCTGGGTTCAATATATGTAGATCCCAAACACCGAATTTTGTTGGATGACGAACAAATTAAAAAGGCAAAGAAAGCCATCTATGAACTTTCACTATTAATGAAATTATTATCAGAGCAACAGGAGTGTTCAAATCAAGACAGTTAAACTGCATACACTGTAAATGAGTGTATATCATCCTTCTCCACTGATGAATTATATTTTGAGAAATATTTGGATATATTGAAAAGGCTAGGCAAAACGAAGAAATAGCGAACCAAGAGATTTCGATAAAAAATAAATAAAATAAATATTACCGGTTTCAAAATTTTAAATTCCGTCCAAAGGGGCGTTTTTTTTACATTTTATTTATTTAAATATCGTGTTTCTTGCACTTAAACCATAAAATTCAGTTACAGCAATATCCAAACTAATTTTAAAAATGAGCAATTTTTTAAATTCCGAGACACAGTTTCCGCGTCCTGGAGATAAAAAGCTCCCCCCCCCCCCCCGTAGAGTGGTTGCCATTTGCTCGCTTGAATCGTTGAGTGTTGTTTAATTAAAAATTCGTTAATTTTAACAAACGAATGAAATCGATATTAAAAACAAAATTCCAAATTTGGGCTTTCAGATCCTCATATCGCATAGGATTATATCATTGAAAATTGGATGGCTCTAGGGTACCGTTTGTTTTCACACATCACAATTTGAAAATAATACTACATTTTGCAGATTTTTTCATATTTAATGTCTTTCAATATAATGGGGTCAGGACTTTACAATTGGTTGCAACTTTGAAAAATGAACTGGCTGACATTTATATGATTCAACGCAAAATCACAAGACAAAAACAATAGTCCTTCAGGGACAAAGCCCCTTTGGACTAAAAATGAAAAAATACAAATAAGATTTCTACACAGCCCCTTGAAGAAATAGAGAAATATGATCGCTCTTGCTAGACACGTTTTAGAACATACACAAATCTATCCTGAAAAGTTAAAAGAAGTAGCCCTAATAGTAACAGCTCTTCCGTCTATTGAAGTTAGTGCGGAAAGACTGTTTTCAGCTCTGTAATTTATGAAATTTGATCTATGATCCTTTATCAAAGGAGATCTTGCCGAAGCGTTTCTTGCTGTTTGCTTGATCGTGTTGTTTTTGCTTGATGTTGCTGCTTCTTAGCTATTACTAATGCCAGTTTTTCCATTTCATAATAAATGCTAATTAATATAATTAATCTGCTATGCCATCAATTCTTTTCCGTAGTATCTATTACTTCTTTTATATTAAAAAGAAATGCTGTACCACATGTGTATATGTTAACATATATATATATATATATATATGAGGGAGTCGGAGCCTTAAACTTCCAGGAGTCAGAGCCGGGGTTGGTCATTTTCCCTACCGACTCCACAGCCCTGATGAACATTTTTCGTGTAATGAAAAAACAAGGTTTATGAATGTGTAAAATTTGTTGCTTATTAAAACGCTATCTGTATTCGAGTTTATATGAAGTGCAAAGAATAATCTTTTGAAACAAATAGGAAATTAGCTAACAGACTTAATATTTTTGAATGATTTTGTCTACTAGATATTCTGTACTACATTTGAAATTATGTCATTAAATACTACATAAAATATGTCATAAAATTACTATACTATATTTCATATTCCATCATTAAAATATAAAATTTTCACTTAGCACCAGTGGAGGACCTTTGCAGTTGCTTCTAATTTCCATTTCTTATATATACCTCCTGTGGATTGATCGCATTGCATGGACATGTTCAGAATTTCGATCATGGTGATCCGTAAGATGTTTTATGAAGATTCTTAGGATCTAAAAAATCAAAATTTCTTCAGTTCTTTGTTTATGTTTATATAAGATGCGCTTAATTAAACATAATTTATTTTTTGATATCGTTGATTTTATGTTATTTCTCCAATTTTTCTTTATATATTTGTTTACTGTTGGTTCTCTTTATTTTGTAATGTAAATTTTCAATTATTTTTCACAAGGATGTCTATTTAAATCAACATTTGTCTATTATATATTACTGTCACAGTCACTTTCTAAATTGTGTAGACAATATGTATTGAAATTTTTATTAATTGACCACTTGATAATGTCATGCATACTTTTGTGAAACATTAATTCTTTAATTTTTTTATCTTATTTTACAGGCAGATCCAGCAGCCCGTTTAAAAATAGAATTAAACTCAAAAAATGTTCGCTTTGCCGTTATGCTACTCAGAAGAATTCTGACCTTCAAGAACATTTGAAAACTCACAAGATATATCCTCGTTTTGTTTGTCATGTCTGCAAAAAAAAATTTAATTTGAAAAGTCAACTTCGAAGTCATTTACAGGTTCATTCTCGAACACCGTATTATATGTGTGAAAAGTGTAATAAAACCTTCAAAGCGTTATTATATCTTGAGCAGCATTCAAGAGTTCATACTGGAGACCGGCCTTATGCTTGTGAAATATGCAGCAAAAGATTTAAACAGAAATCACATCTTGTGGCTCATTCGAGGATTCATACTGGAGAGAAACCTTTTGCTTGTAAAATTTGCAAGAAAGCGTTTAAGCAGAAATCACATCTTGATTCACATTTAAAGAAACATGAAGAAAAATAACCACTCTCGTAAGACTTTTCACATTATACAAAATTTTGACGTGCATTGAAAGATTCATTCTGAAAAGCACCCCCCCCCTTTTCGTGAAATATTTGACAAACATTTCGTCAAAAATCACATCTTGACTCACATTTAAAAATTCATATTGGAGAGTGTCTTTTGTTTATGCTTGGTAGAATAAAACCGTAAATGGCTCCAATTGATTACTTGATGCGCATTTAAAGATTTCTTTCTGAGTGTGCAAAACATGTAATGAAAAACATGCTATTAAAACCCATTTAAAATATGCAGTGTATTATAAGCAATTAGCTATTTGTCCCGTTCATGCATTCTTTAAGTAAATGGTTAACATATCCATCTGGCAGTTGGAAGATCCGTGGTTCGAACTTTCGAAAGGATGCAGGCGATCTTTGACGTTTCCTGCACCTAAGCCATTAGATTCCTTACAGTATATCCGTAAAATGCACTGTTTGTGGCAGCAGATCCCGATAGAAAAGCAGCATGAATGTGTGGAAACAGTATGAATAAGCTAATGTGAATTAATACTGCTGGTGTTTCGATGATGTTTATAACTAGAGCTTAAGTAAATTTTGGAGTCTTGATATAAATATATATCATATGAGTGCATTGTTTATGACTGCAAGTACAATAGAACGCCAATTATCCGAATCAGTTGAAACCGGACCCCATTCGGATAATCAAATATTCGAATAATTGGATTTTCCCGAAGAAAGTGGTCTTCGAAGACTTTAATTAATTACTGTATGTTGAAAATGGAAGAAAAAACTATTTTTAAAGAAAAAGAGGTTTTAATTAAAATGAAAAGGCAACACTTTTACGTACATGTTATATAGCGTATTGTACTTACAAGTGCTGGAAGTCATTGCTTAACATTTTGGTCAACGTAAGCTGTTTCACTGTCTTCATCCATTTTCAGACAGCCAAGTCGTGCGTCCGCTCGACAGTTGAGACGTTGTATGTGGTCACACTCGGGCTGACGCTCCATCCACTTCAATGCAGTTTCAAGGCCGGCAAACGCTTCACTAACTGATGGTCCCATGTCTGCTTCAACTTCGACATTAAGGTTATCTTCTTCCTCGACACTTTATTTTCTCACACCTTCTAATAAGTTCGTCATCATTTAGAATTTGAAACCCAGGGTTTGACGAATCACACACCATCCATTCTGCTGTATCCTCAGCACTAACTTCTGAACATCCAGTAATTATCAAAAGAATGTTTCTTAATTCCTCAAGTGGCACGTCATCCTTATCTTCTCCTGTCTCTTCTCTTTCCTTTTCATGAGCTTCTTTTTCTTGTTTCTCCTTTTCCTCCTCTTCTTCAGTTGATTCTGAAAGTCTGAAAGCGATTTAGATAATCAGCCATTCGGATGGTCAGAGTTTGGATAATTGGAGTTGTACTGTATTGGTATAGAAGAAGTTTTACAGAAGCATAATGTACAGACTGATATGAAAACGTTTATTTTTCTCCAAAAGCATGATGATTTTTTATATATTATGATGATAGTCACCATTTATTTCGTAAATTATAGATAAAATGCATTAAAGTTGTAGTATGAAATATTTTTGCATTAAATATAAAAATTGTTGTCGTAAATATAGCATACCTTTACTTCATATCAATGTCCCCTTTTGCGAACATAATTGAGATTTATTATAAGGTATTGACAAATGTTGGTAAAAATATACCTTCATATTTTTTTAAAGAATGAAGTAAGTTTAAAATGTCAAATTATAACATGCTTTAAAGCTAATATGTTCATAATGGCGAAATTTTGTATGTTTATTTCCAATAGCCTTGATATATTCTTTCTACATATATTTAAAAAAATTTTAATTTTAAAATATGCTTTTTACAAATAGAATGAGCGTAATCGCATGAATTCATTTGCTGCTTTTTTGTGTTTCATGTAAAATTGTTAATATTCTTCAGGCTTGAAAATTCAAATTGTTTTCTATTACTTTTCATATATATAACCTGTACTTAAGTATTCAATTGTAAAAATGTTTTTTGATATTGCTGTTTTAATTTTACTTCTTCAATCTTTACTTACTCTATATAATATATGTATTGCTTGTCGTTTTTTCCCATTTATTTCATAATTGTAAATTTCCACATTTTTCAGAGGGATATGCATTTCAATCCATAAATGTCCGTCATGTTATTTAAATAAATACAAAGTTAATACCAACGTTACTTAAATTAAACACAAAGCTTAAACTAGTTAATTTCCTATTTTTTTGAATTAAAGCGTTTCATTCCCCAAATTAATTTATGCAAACACAGTACATTATCTGACTTTGGAAACTCATGTTTACTGTTGTAAAGTTAAAGGGCCATATAGAATTTTTAAGATCAATGCGATTGACTATAAAACACGTGATATACAAAATGGAGGTTCAGAAGAATTGGTGTCAACAGTCTGTTACGCTTTCTCAAGCCAGTTATAGTTTTAAAAAAAAAAAAAAAAAAAAAAAAAAAAAAAAACGTTAAAAACGTATTCACATGGTGAAGAATAATGAATGAGCTAACAATCATAAATAGCCCAAAAGGGCAATTTGTGCAGAAGGGCTATTAATATCGTTTTGGCATTTTGTGTCGGTTCATTTTTCAAATTGTTGCCACCCAATATTAGAGACCTGCATTATATTTAAAGGAACTAAATAATGAATAGTCTACAGCATGTATGTATATTTCTCGCACTGTAAAAAAGAAACGGTACCTAGAGACATCAAATTTTGAATAACGTTGTCCTTCATTCGAATATGGGCACGGTCCTCCATTCGAATATCTGGAAGTCCAAATAGGAAATTTGTTTTATTATCTATTTCATATTTTGTCAAACATTAAAGAATTTTTTATTAAAAGATTCAAAGAATACAATGGCAACATTGTACCAAAAAAAATATCAAAAAAAAAAAAAATTATCTCCAGCACGCGAGACTGTGTATCGGAAGTTCTAAAGATATGCTCTTTTAAATATGTGATATTTCTGTTGAATTGAATTTTATTGTTTAAGTGCAAAGAGCATGATATTTAATAAGTAAAGGTAGCACACAAAACATTAAAAAAACGCCCCCTTTGGGCGTAATATAGAATCTGAAAGCTTTAAGATTTTTTTTAAATCTTGGAATGGTTAAAAAACATATCTCTCTGTCAACTTAATATATAATAACAGTCGTACATAAATGTTTTTATGTAATAATATTAATTCAGGTAAACATGTCCATTTTTCATACATAATGATATAAATTTTACCTTCTTAAGTTATATATTCGAAAGCACATATCTCCATTTTATCAATGTAGATTTTTATCATATGCAAAATCATTTACATCTTTTTATTAATTTTTTCGTAATTATATTTTATACATTATTTGAGAGCGTATAAAATCATTGTAGTATATATTTCTATTTTATTACTGTATAATTTTATCCTATATAAAATCATTTTCCATATTTTTATTAATTTCACTTAATTATATTTTATGTTGTTACTGTAATATATTTTATATATAACTGGTACATTACACTTTACTTATTATACTGACTGATGAAAAAAATCATTCCATGAACCTAAACTTTAATTTGAAGTAAAACCTAGGTCTGTAATTTTTATAAATTTTTTTTTAATTTTCCACACTGCGAAAATACTTTAACGTTAATTTTTAATTATTATTCTTCCAGTTAATTTTTATTCACAATTTTACTGGATATGTAAAATTTCAATCCCGGATATTACTGGCTGTGTATAAAAATAACTCCGAATATTATAATTTCAAATACTCAGATCGTCGTCTATTAAACTAAGTTGTTTAATAAATTCAAATGATAGGAACGGAAGTGATTTTAATATACAAAGGCTGTTCGCATATTTCTTAGACGAATTTTATTTGGTATAGAAAAAACGCTTGTTTCGAAAAACATTTTTTAACTGCAGCTATATTTTTGAAAGTGTAAATTATTGTTTGCTGTTTGATAATTTGGTTTTCATGCAAGTGTGATTTTTAACAAAATAATGGACAGTCATGTTTGTTCTCTTTCCAAAGAAATTATTCATAATTAATTTGTAGAGACATTAGGATTTTTTTTTTTTTTTTTTGGGGCCAGAGAAATGAAAAATTACCAACCGCCTTCGCCGGGAATCGAACCAGGGACCTCTGGAATACCGGCCCAGTGTGCAGAACCACTACACCCCGAAGGACGATAGGAAAGTGGGAGATACCTTAATATACTCCCCTTTAAAATTATATTCCTTTATATTTTAAATATTTCCTTTATATTTTAAAATATATATATTATATTATAATTATACTCCCCTTTTTAAAGGGCGACTAGGGTTTTAGGGGATCTAGTCGCCAAATCCTGGGTGCGGAGAATCATCATCCACAACCCTTTTAGTTCGGGCGCCACTGTAGAGACATTAGGATTTTTTTTTTTTTTTTTTTTTTTTTTGAGGCCAGAGAAATGAAAAATTAGCAACCGCCTTTGCCGGGAATCGAACCACGGACCTCTGGAATACCGGCCCAGTGTGCAGAACCACTACACCACGCTAGGAAAGTGGGAGAAATACCTTATAAATTAATAAAAAATGGGTTGATCTTTACAATATGGTAACTGGTAGTTTGGCGACATTTTGGAGGCGATAAGGTTACTACCTGGGACTTTCGTATAATGTGAGCAGTACTCAGTTCCGATTACGCATTATTTTGTGTGAGGGAATGAGAGATCATGGGATATGTCAGTGATATTAATGAACGAATTACGGTTCTTTAATCGGAAAGGGGGGAAATCGGGAAAAAATCTGGAAATTTGTATTTGCTTTATTCTGTGTTGTGTGAAACATGTTCGTGAATTTTGGATCCCATGGCCGTAACTAAAGTGAATTCGAAATGGGTATTTATGTATGTATTAATTTAAATGTAGTGCTCATTTATATTTTAAGTAGTGGTTTTGAATTTAATTATATTTTAATTAATGATAGTTATTTTGTGAATTTTATGTTTGTAGGAATTTGGTACGTTTTAGTTGAAGTAACGTGCATGGAAATAATTTAAGTATCTGACACTAAGTATTTGTAATGGTTGCGGTATGAATTCGTTGGTGATGTGTATAATGTAATAGATGATTTAGAGGTAAAAGTTTTTTGGATATTTTATTTATTTATATGTGGAAATGTTCATATTTGGAAGGTAAATACTTTTTCGCGATCAGGTAATTTCATATATGTTCTTTTACGGGTTTAAAGATTGAGAAAATTGTCATGTATTTTCGTGAAATTTTCTAATTTATGAGAAAAAAGCTGTTACATGGATATAGTGAAGAGTGTGCGCAATGCCATTTTTGTGCAATCTGGGATGTTTTATTAAGTAAAAATAAGTCGGTGTGTAATGGTTTAGTGATATTTAATAAATGATAGTATTTTGTGAATTTTATGTTGTAGGAATTTGGTATCGTTTAAGTTGAAGTAAACGTGCATGGAAATAATTTAAATATTTGATACTAATATTTGTAATGCTTGCGGTATGAATTCGTTGGTGACGTGTATAATTAATAGAGATTAGAGGTAAAAGTTTTTGGATATTTTATTCTTTTATATGTGGAAATGTTCATATTTGGAAAGGGTAAAACTTTTTTCGCGATCAGGTAATTTCTATATGTTCTTTTTACCGGGTTTAAAGATTGAGAAAATTGTCTGGTATTTTCGTGAAATTTTTCTAATTTTAGAAAAAAGCAGTGTAAATGGATATAGTGAAGAGTGTGCGCAATGCATTTTTGTGCATTCTGGGATTTTTTTAAATAAAAATAAGTCGCGTGTACATGGTTTATGTGTATGGGTTATTTGAAAAACGCGTAAGGAGTATGGTATTGTGCACTTTTTCCCAATTTGCAGTGAATATTGTCACGATTAGCAGTTTGTTAGATAAAATTTCTAGCATAAGTGTAATTCGGCTAGTAGATGTGAAGAAGTGTCAGTAGATAAAAGAAAAGAAAAATGTCTTTACTTCGTGAGACAAATGGCGGCAGAAAAAAAAAATAGAGGGTTGCTGTAGGAGAGTTGGTCGCCAAATTTTCGCCAAAAAACGCCAAGTTACCATAATGTAAAGATCAACCAAAAATGCTTTGAAAGCCATGATTTTTCGGATATAAGCCAACGATAGATAATATTGTCAGTAAGAAAGGAGAGAAATGTCAAAGTTTGGCTACAAGGAGAAAAATTCTTCAAAATACATATCCATTTCGAATTCTTCAAGGATAAGAATTTTAATGTTAAAAGAAAATCTTAGGAAAGTCAATCTTAAGTCAAAGGACAGTTGCATAGTTATTAAAATCCTCAGTGTCAACTGCAAACAAAGTGATTAATGCTAATTTGAATCTTAAAAAAGCGACAAAACATAATGTGCACCTTTCTGCACGACATATCCACTAAAGCAGAATGCTCTGCAGAATTCTTTATAAGAGACAATTATTCCGACAAAAATAGAAAAGTGTTGTCACAAAAGATGAATCTTGGGTATATTCAAATAAGCGCATTAGAAAGAGATCTGTTTATTATCATCAAACAGAAGAAAAAAAATCTTAGAACATGGTTCAAAGAATCTAAAGAAAGTTTCCCAAAGTGATTTATGATTGTTGATACCTTTTACTGCACATATTATCGGGAATATTTTATACCCAATTTTCAAACATGAAATACCTCTCTTTACCCACAGCGTAATCAATCAGTAGAACTGCATCAAGACAAGCAGCCGCATGTCAAAAACAGCTGTAAAATTCCTGGAAAAAATCGAACAAGAAACATGTATCATGGCCATATTCTTCACTCATATCCTACCAAATCTCCCGACGTGTCATCCACGGATTTTTGCGCTTTTGGACTTTTAAAAAGCGGATTGTCCAGGCGTCGACCTACAACCCTCTGTGGACTTCGGAATGCTGTTGAAGAGGAATGGGATAAAATAAACTCTTCCGCTACTAGTAAAAGCTTTATTGTCCCGGAAATTACAGTGTTGAAGGATATTGAAAAATAGGGGTTATCAAACAAAACAAAACAAAAAAAAGTTTCCAGTACTTTATTTATTAAATATCATGTTCTTTGCACTTAAACCATAAAATTCAGTTCAAGAGCAATGTCGCAAAATAATTTTAAATTGAGAATATTTTTAGAATTTTCGATACATAGTCTCGCGCGCTGGATATTTATTATTATTTTCTTTCTGTACCATGTTGCCATTGTTCGCTTTGAAATCCTTGAGGTTGTTAATAAAAAATTCGGTAATATTTTACAAAATAGGAACTCGATAATAAAACGAATTCCAAATTTGGCCTTCCAGCTGCCCATATTCGCAGTAGGATTACGTCATTTAAAATTGGATTTCTCTAGGTACCGTTGTTTTATTCCAATGCGTGAAACATGTATACGTTTATGCAGATTCTTCATTATTTAATTTCTTTTAACATAATACAAGGCGATAATATTCGGTGGCAACAGTTTGCAAAGTCAAAGAGACATTCAAAAAGATTCAACACAAAATCGCAAATCGAAAATAATAGTCCCTTAGGGACAAAGCCCGTTTTTAATAAAACGTTTAAGTAAAATATTTCTGTGAATACAATGAAAATCGTCTCTGTACGGCGGACGCCGTATTTTTAATTTATGCTGTATGTATCTTAAACACTAATTTTCAAACGGTTGCTTATTTAATATTTTTATCTACACGTCCTTTTGAAACCATCTTGGCTATCAAAAACACCATTGCTGTATGTATAAACACTAATTTTCAAACGGTTGCTTATTTAATATTTTTATCTACACGTCCTTTTGAAACCATCTTGGCTATCAAAAACACCATTGCTGTATTTTACACTGTTCTTAAGCTCTGAATGGCACATAATAACTCATATGTGTTTTGCGCCATAAAATCCAAGCAACCATCTGAAATCAAAAATTAAATTTGTACTTGTATCCATTTTCAAAGACAAACATTGCCAAAAGTATAAATAAGTACACATTTAAACACTTGTACAGATATTAGGATTAATTGGAAAAGCCAGAGAGATGAAAAATTAGCAACGCCTTCGCCGGAAATCGAACCACGGACCTCTGGAATACCGGCCCAGCGTGCAGAACCACTACACCACGAAGGCACGCTAGGAAAGTGGGAGAAATACCTTATACACTTATATATAGTATAAAAAGGAAAATATATCTATAATTCTTCATCTTCGTCAGACACGAGAAACGTATTAGAGAGGGCATCTAAACTACAATCTGCATCTGCATTATATAAATGTTCGTATCTTATTATGAATATTTTAAAGCACTCAATATATAATCTGTTCCATATTTTGCTTTTGAACTCATGTTTCGTAGGATCACGAAAAATGTACACTGCGAAATAAACAAAGAAATAGGGCAGTTCTAGATCTCCCGTTCTACTGGAACGATTGACGAAATTCAATTTGCATGTCTTTTTCACGTCTGGTAAGAGAGACTTAGGATATGTATTAATTGGATTTATATATAGCATTGTTTTAATACAGGTATTTTGACAGAAAATCTGACTTTTTCTGAAATGACATGCCAATTCTTTTCCATATTACGAGTCTACGACTCAAATTATGACAATCTGTTAAGTTTTATAAACATCGCACGAGCAGTTTTCAAAAAATAAGCTCTCAAAAATCTCAAAGCTCTCAAATTTAGGCTTGATCCGAATATAATTCACCCATTTTTTATAATTTATTTCCAAAATTTGTATTTTTTTAAATTTTTCGAAACAAGTCTTGATTTATAAGCTATAAAATTCTTTACATCATCTTTAAATACATGTATTTCTAATCATACTTTCAAAAAATTAGAAATTTTTCGTTCAAAATGCTCTAGGATACACGTGAATTTACATAAAGGCGCGTTTTGAAATTTGACATATTTTTTAGAAGCGACGATGAATGCGAAATGTGGTTTACGCACTTTGTTAAAACTATTTGAGATAATGAACGACGACTTTTTTCCTGAACATTTACAATGTAAAAAAGGAAAGGAAAATAGGTTGCTATAAATTAAGGAGTTCGCCAAGTGAATTATCCTTGGCGCAAACTGAAAAAAATGCGCCAAGATAAATTTTTGAATTTCTCCGTAAATTTCGCGCAAAATTTAATATTTAGGCATAATTTGAGTCGTAGAATAGAAATGTGGAAAACAAATTGGCGTGTCATTTCAGAAAAAGTTCGATTTTGTGTCCAAATACCTATATTAGAACAATGCTATATATAAATCTGATATATATCGTAATTTGCTCTTTCGAGGCATGAAAAACGCAATTTAGTCAATCAGTAGAACGGGAGATATAAAACTGTCCCCCTCTTCTTTTTCTGATCAGTGTACTCTTTGTTTTTCATAATTTGATTATGTTTTGCATGCTATTTATTATTTTAATTAAAAAAATATATATATGTGAGGAAGCACCTCAGTTTATTTAATGCTGCTAGTATTTCTACTAGTTCTGCTTTAATCCTTATTCATGTTAAAATTATCTTTAAGATCATGGATGGCCTCCCTCCCGGATAGTCCTGGCTGTGTTTAATTCTTTTGGTATTTTTTAATATATTTCAGTTTTACTTTATGCTCATTTCCCGTTTGTTTGTTGGAAAAACAGTATATTTTCTGAGACGAAATGTATAGAAATTGATATTAATGTATCACATAATAATGTCATGGATATTTTCGTGAAATATTAATTCTTGAAATTTTCTTTATGTTACAGGCAGATGTAGCAGCCCGACTGAAAATGAAAGTAAAATCTTGAAATGTTCATTTTGCAATCGTGTTGCTGAAAATGACGACGACCTTCAAGAACATTTGCAGGTTCATAACATAGGTCCTTGCCAAAAAACGTTCACTTTGAAAAGTCAACCTCGAAATCATTTAGAGGTTCATTCTCAGAGAGAAGGTTATACATGTGCAGAGTGTAATAGAGCGTTTAAAAGTAAAATATTGCTTAAACAACATTACAGGATTCACGCGGGAGAACGGCCTTATGCATGTAAAATATGTGAGAAAACATTTATTCAAAAATCACATCTTGATGCGCATTTAAGAATTCATTCTGGAGAGAAGCCTTTTGTTTGTGAAATTTGCAACAGAAAATTTAAGCAGAAATCACATCTTGATGTACATTTAAAGATTCACGACGAAGAGTTTCCTTATGTTTGTGATACATGCAATAAGAGGTTTTACTACAAAAAAAATTTTGATGTGCATTTAAGAAAGCATACTGGAAAGCAGCCTCATATATGTCAAATATGTAATAAAACATTTGATCGTAACGCACAACTTAAAAACCATTTAAGAATTCATACTCAAGAGCGGCCTTTTATTTGTGAAATATGTAACACAACGTTTACTCAAAAATCTCATCTTAACGCACATTCGAGGATTCATTCTGAAGAGAAGCCTATTGTTTGTAAAATTTGCAACAAAGCATTTAAGACAAAATCAAATCTTGACGTACATTTAAAGATTCATAAAAATGAGCGTCCTTATGTTTGTGATATATGCAGTAAGACTTTTTGCCAAAAAGTACATCTTCATGTGCATTTAAGAACTCATACTGGAGAGCAGCCTTTTACATGTGAAATATGTGAGAAAAAGTTTAATAAAAAGTCATCTCTTGCCGTACATTTAAGATTTCATACTGGGGAACGGCCCTATGCCTGTGATTGGTGCAATAAAACTTTTCGACAGAAATCAAATTTTGATTGGCATTTAAAGAAACATTCTTGAAATCGTTTTGTTTGAAATTTCTAACAAAGCCTTATATGAAAAACCGTGCTTTTCAAACACGTTTAAAATATCACGTAAGGAATAAGTTACGAGGAATGACTGCTTTTGACCGTTTGTGCGAAATGTCTGTAACTGGTTCTCTTATCGAATAAGTAACTGAAAAGATCTCTGAATACCGGCGAGGATATGGTTCATTTTTCACGTTTCCTGCTGTAAAACCATAAGATTGTCGACAGTGTACCATTTAAAGGATGCGTTTTTACTTCTTTGTACGATTTAAAAGAACTGATAACAATACTTCCTTTATTCCAGGTTTCATATTTCAACGAAAATACCCATTTTGACCGCTATCGAATGCAATTTAACGATGTTTTTTGCGTAACATCTGTATGCAAGGAGAGAATAAAGGACACTTTTTCCTCAGACGAATTATGAAACTGATTTAAAATGGATTCAGAAGAGATTTTTCCATGGCGTCTCTGTACCTATGTATGCATGTATCTCACATAACTCTAAAACGAGTAGCCTCAGAACGTTGAAATTTTGTATATAGGATTGCTATCATATGTAGAAGTGCACCTCTCTTTTCGGTTCCAATCGGCCGCACCAAAAGTATATAAATATATATGCCCACTCTCTTACTTGGCTCAGTGAGCTCATTTTTTTTTAATCTTACGTGTTGGTAAATTGTGCATTTTTTGCTTTAAAAATGAGGGAATTATGCTGTTCTTACCTTCCGGTTAAGGTTTTTATGCCTTTAGTTAATATGCATGCAATAGTTGTAGAATGATTAACAATTTAAAAGTTGTGTAAGTGTGGCTAAGCCTAATTTATTTTTACCATAGCAGCCATATTTGTTTACATTTGAAGCTTAGCAGAAAAGTAAAATAAGTCTTTCTGCACCTTTAGTGTCTTTTTGCCGAATGAGGGCGAACGAAACTTTTAGTTTTGTGCACCGAAAAATCTGCCTTCTTGCCTGTTGGCCGAATTGCTTCTTTTTGCTCAAGTGTAATTTTTTGAATTTTTTTTTATATTTGCTGTTTTATGTTTTTATACATACTTCAGTTTTCATTTAAAGTATTTTGAGTTTTTATGTATTTTTGCCTTGCCGTGCAGTGAGAACTGAACTAATTGAATGAAAAATATATCTCTAATGAAATTCGAGGAGATAAGTTTAAATGAAATGCAGGAAAAAGAGTTGTAATTTATTATTCCGTATAAGAAAGTCATGTGGTGTACACATCAAATTTTTTTGTGGTAGCAGCTACACATACAGAACATGAGAAAGCAATGTTTTTCAGCTGATCATTCGAGAACCGGATTCTTGACGTGACCGGCAAAGTATGAATTGCGGCATTCTATACAATACCCTGGCATTTGATAGAACGCCAAAAACTGGCCGGCAATGTATGAAATTATTCAACTTTTCAAACGTTGCCTACGCTTTGTATGAAAAATTAATTTCTATAGAATGCCAAATGACAAACCGGCAAAGAATGAAATACATCTCCGTATTATATACAATGCTTAGGGAAGGTTTACGAGGTGTGACACACACACACACACACAAAAGAGTTTCCGTGACATTATAACCTTCAAAGTAGTCCCCTTCAGCATTCTTCACTTGAGTAGTCCCCTTCTGCATTCGGTGCTGCCATTGCTGCGGTAACAGTTCTAGAACGAGGTTTTTGGAAGGCCTTTAGAAGATTTTCCGTTTTTGCCTGAACCTTTTCAGTTGAAGTAAAATGGATTCCCTTTAAGCCAGATTTAACTTTAGGAAATAAAAAAAAAAAAGTCGAATGGAGCCAAATCAGGTGAATAAGGTGGATGGACCATCACGGTAATGATTTTGCTGGTCAGAAACTGCTTGACAGATAGGGCCGTGTGAGCGGGTGCATTGTCCTGCTGCAACAGCCATCCATCACTTCACAACTACGGCCTTTTTTCCCTGACTTTTTCATGAAGTCCTTTTACTATTTCAAGTGCAGCAGTTCTCATCTTCTGGTTAATGTTTTTATGCCTTTAATTTATATGCATGCGATAGTTATAAAATTATTCGCAATTTAAAAGTTGTTTAAGTGTTGCTAAACTCTTTTTTTTTTTTTTTTCTCTCCATAGCAGCCACATTTGTTTATATTTGAAACTTAGTAGAATAGTGAATGAAGTCATTTTCTGCATGTGGTAACCAAAAGCAAGCTTTAAGTTTTGTGCACCGAAAAATATGCATTGTTTCCTGCTGGCCTAATTGCTTGTTTTTGTGTAGAAATTCTAATTTTAATTGCAAATTGTTCTTAAACAAATTGTTTTAACTATGTTTTGTGTTTTATGTTTTATGCTCGAATTTTAATAAAGGTATTTTGAGTTTTTATGTATTTTTGCCTTTCCCCGAAGTGAGAACTGAATTAATTGCATGAGAAGTAGGGAAGAGTAGCCTAATTTGAATCAGTTTTGTATTTTTCACTCTATAGGAGGACGGAAGAAGTGCCAATAAAAATTAAGTAGTAGAAAATAAACTCACTAACTGTACCTTCAAAATAGAACCATTTATTAAATTTTAAAAATTATTTATAACGGTGAAAAATGAATCCAAAAAAATCGTGTCATCGGTTCAATTTAGGAAACCGGTTTCCTTATTTGGACCGCTAGTTTCCTAAATTGGACCATGAGCTTTCTTAACGGCAATTACACTGGTTATCATAAATGAAGGAAAAAGCACAAAAATCACGATTAGTGAAAATGTTACATGTAGAATTTTATGAAACTTACTCACAATATACAACACATAGTAAGGTATCAAGTAACATAAAAATAAATTACCAGACAATTATGGTAGTATAGAAATTAGCACATGTATAAAATGAACAAATTGAAGCTGTCAGTTTGCTATAGGAAAAGTACCTTTAATATGGAATATGGTCGCCTCTAGAAGCATACAGCGATGCGTGATGCTTTCAATTATGCAGTCTATCAGTTCCATAAGAAGCGAGAGCCATTGCTCTTGCAAAGCAGTTGCAAGGGTCTGAGAGGGCGGATATAGAGCAGTTAGACGTCCCTCTAAAGCATCCCAAACGTGCTCGATAGGATTCAAGTCCGGGGATCGAGCTAGCCACTCCATGCGCATAATTGTTTCCTATTGAAGATAATCATTTACGATGCGAGCCCTGTGTGGTCTTGCGTTATCGTCCTGTAACAGGAAAGCATCATCTATTGCCCAGGCACATGGGCGCACATAAGCATCAAGGTTGTCATCTCTAGAAACCGGAGCATTCACGATTTCCGTTGGAAAGACATGGAGGTCTGTGCGTCCACCCAAAGAGATGCCACCCCAAACACAGACACTGCCTCTTCCGTATGCATCTCTTTAACGGATGTATGACGGATGAGAACGGGTTCAAGGTTCTCTACATATCAAATAACGCCTACTATCGCTTTTTAGACTAAACCTGATGAATTATAATTTAATTTAATAAATGCCTAGATTTTAATTTTCATCCGTAAAGAGAACCAAGCCCTCCACTGATCAGGCGTCCTGTGGACATGTTGTCGTGCCTACTGCAAACGGTCCCTCCCTATGGCGTGACGTGAGCGGCACGCAAATGGCTGGTTATCTCGCATACAGACCACCTTTGTGAAGCCTTCTATGCATAGTTGACGTTGACACTAACCTTCCAGTGGTTGCAGCAAGGGAGGATCTAAGAAGAGTCGGAGTACCGGTTCCTATTCCTGCGTGCACATAATGTCAAATATCGGCGGACATCGGCGCTCGTTGTAGCAGTTGGCCGTCCTTGGCTGAACCTCCTAAATGGCGAATCTGTGGTTTGAAATCGCCTCCAAAGTCTATGAACCATAGAGGACTCATTCACATTTAGCCATATGGCCAATTCTGTTTGACTTTATCCTGCCTCTAGTCTCTCAATGGCTCTCCATCGTTGTCTGCAGGCAAATGATGCCTGGAGGTCATTGTTACGAATTGGCTATATCAGATTTCTGATGTCGCTATCACAGTGAAATATGTGGGCTTGCTCTCAAACATTCTCCTCGCAGATGACGTATTCCGAGTGCAGCGCCACTAATTTGCATATTGCAGTTTTATTCAGCTTCTCTTACTTGGTAACATATTCAAATTTTACACGGTTTGGCTTATTTTTGAGGGAGTTATCGCTATTTTTGTGATTTTTCCTTAATTTATGATAACCAGTGTACAACAAAAGAACCTTTTAATTGCAGCACTAGCTCCAGCACACCGAGTATGTATCCAAGCGTGACATTTCATGCATTGTTATCATTTCTTCTTCCTTGGTTTCTTCACATAATATACAAAACCATGAATCACCAGTTTCTTTTTTATGTTTCTGCATTTTGTTAAACTCTGGTGAACTGATTTTTTTTTTTTTTTTTTTTTTTTTTTTTTTTTTTTTTTTTTTAAAGTTTTGGTATAACCGCGACTTGTAAGGGCTGCTTGTTATTTCCACTGCTTTCTGGGCTATTGGTGCACTGCGAGAAGACGAAGTTGGATTTTGATTTTTCTTTGCTCGCGGTGATTTTTTCAAGAACTGCCCAATCGTTTTTCGTTATCACTTCTATCTTCATAATCATCATACTAAAAGTGAAACGGGGTTTCTGCAAGCTTTTTAAATCTTTTAAGCACGCTTGCGCATACTTCGTCCAGAGAGAATGGTTGCTATTCCCGTAAGCTTTTCGAAGGGTAGCATATAGGGTTAATTATAATTATCCATGAAAAAAATGTCGTTGCCGAAATTGGACCTGTTTAATTTCGGCAACTCTTCTCGGTCCAACTTGGGAAACTTGAATATTTAATGCTTGATATTGTACAGAACCGTCAAACTAACATAATCTCTCAAAATTATAATTGCAAATTGTAGATAAATAAGCAATTTTTGTGATGGTATAATAAGACATGTAATTACTTACGTTTAGACGAATTAACTGCTTTCACACTTATATAGAAATAACAGATTTTCTTCTTAGCCAAACGAATAACACTTCTCTCAATGTAACCGCGAGGCATTTCTTTACAAACACAATTGAATTAATCTCTTCTACATCTACGTATAACAAATTGCCTATCTCAAATCTCGCAGATATTATCAGTCTTTGTATATCATAGCGGTCCAAATTAGGCTACCTTCCCCTATATCTCTAACGAAGTTCGAGAAATAAGTTTAATGAAATGCAGGAAAAAATACGTATAATTGATTATTCCGTACAAGGAAGTCATGTGGTGTACACATCAGACTTTTTAGCGTAGCATTAAGGATGATATCTAGGATTTAAATGTGGGAAGCATAATATTTTCTCATTTTGAACTCTAATCAGTTTAAAACCCCGGTGTAACCTTTTCAAATTTCCTTCAAACTCTAA